CTGCGTTACTTTTAAAAATATTATGCTTTACCTATAATATTTTCACCTTAAATATTTTCATTGAAAAAAAATTCGAAATCATTTCTCTTTATCATTATCGATATTTCGTTCCTCCTTCGTTCATACATGTAGCTTACTAGCTTTCTAGTACATGTACTCGTCTTTCACACTACTGTTCTCACGTGTTCTATCTTTGGAATAATGTGTGCTTACCTTCCCCATATTTGTTAGGTCAGGGCGATGTAAATGTTTTATTGGTCTTCTTAGGACATCTTGGAGTAGATCATCGTCTTCAAGTTTCATTTGGGATAATTTTTCTGTTCCTTTTGACACAGCTGGAGATAAGTCTTCGTCTTCCAGTTTCATTTTGGAGGGTTTTCTTGATATTTTTAGGAAAGCTGGGGGTAGCTCCTCGTCTTCGTTTTTAATTTGGGAATTATATGTTGTTCTTCCTGGGACAATTGGAGCTACGTCCTCGTCTCCAGGTTTCATTTTTGAGTGTTTTCTTGTACTGTTTGGTACAGTTGGTGGTACGTTCTTGTCCCCAAGTATCATTTGAGAGTGTTTAGTTGTTCCATTTGGGACACCTGGGGGTAAACCTTTGTCTTCAAGTTGTTTCATTTTAGAGTGTTTTATGGTTCTTTTTGATACCACTAGAGGTTTATCCTCGTATTCAATTTTTATTTGGGAGTATTTTGTTGTTCCTTTTGGAACAGCTGAGGTTAGAGATTCGTCTTCCAGTTTCATTTTGGGGGGTTTTCTTGATCCTTTTGGGACAGCTGGAGGTAGATCCTCGTATTCAATTTTCATTTGGAATTGCTTTGTCGTTCCTTTTTGGACATCTGGAGATAGGTCCTTGTCTTTAATTTTTAATTGAAAATGTTTTGCTGTACTATTTAGTGCAGTTGTTGGTACGTTTTTATCCTCATGTATCATTTGAGAGTGTTTAGGTGTTCCATTTGGGACACCTGGGGGTAAATCCTCTTCAAGTTTTATTTTGGAGTGTTTTATGGCTCTTATTAATACCGCTAAAGGCTCATCCTCATCGTTAAGTTTCATTTGGGAGTGTTTTGATGTTCCTTCTGAAACAGCTGTGGTTCGATTATCGTTTTCCAGCTTTAATTTGGAGGGTTTTCTTGATCCTTTTCGGACAGCTGCAGATAGATCCTCGTCTTCCATTTTTATTTGTGAATGCACTATGGTTTGCTGTTTCTTTTCTGACAGTTAGAGGTACGTTCTCGTCTTCATTTTGTATTTGGGAATGATTCGTTGTTTCCTCTGGGAGCGCTGATGGTACATCATCTTCTTCAAGTTTCATTGGGGAGTGTTCTTTTGCTTCCTCAGGGATATTTGGAGGTACGTCCTTGTCTTCAAGTTTCATTTCGGAGGGTTTTGTTGTTCCATTTTCGACAGCTAAAGGTAGATCCTCGATGCTCCGTGAAGCAAGATTTATCAAAATAAAAGAGTTGTATATTTTTCAGTGAGCACCGGAGAGCACCAAAGTTTTGTATATTTATTGGAAAATAGGTTAAGATTTTATCTGAAAAGTTTGACTGGTTTCGTGAAAATAGCGCGCTCACAATAGAACTTGTCCGCGAACTTTTCAAACACCCCTCGCAGTTTACTATAGTTAACTATAGTACCAAAGTTAAAACTTCGGAGCTTTGATTTACTTTGGTGAAAACTTTGTAACTTTGATTTACTATAGTGAAAACTTTGGAACTTTGATTTACTTTTGTGGAACTTTGGAACTTTGATTTACTTTAGTAAAAACTTTGGAACTTTGATTTCTATAGTAAAAACGTTGGAACTTTGATTAACTATGGTGAAAACTTTGAAACTTTGACTTACTTTGGTGAAAACTTTGGAACTTTGACTTTGGTGAAAACTTTGGAACTTTGATTAAATACTATAAAACCCGTGGAATTAATGTTTTGCATCTCATTCTGTACATTTTATGAAATGTCAAGAATGAGAATTATTAAAGCTTAATTGAACGTCAGAAAAACCCGACCCGTCCCTTAAAAGAACAAAGTACAAGAAATGAATTTTAATGAAAAAAATTTCCCTGCACCGATAAATAAGCAATGTTTATTATTATTTATGGAGAAAACAATTATTATAAGATAAAAATTCCGACATTTATAATCAAAATATTTGCTTTATGAACTTTAGCCAAAATGTTTTTTCTACCGTTCAATGTACATATCGCATTTAAATTAATTACTTACCATATTTAAATCGAGATGAACAATATAAATCAGCCCAAACAAACCAAAATCATTACCCTTAAGACAGATTAATAACTCAAACAAAATAATGATAATAAACATACAAAAACTTTAATGCTTTAATTTACTATTGTAAAAACTTTGTAACTTTGATTTACTATGGCGAAAACTTTGAACTTTGATTAACTATGGTGGAAACCTTGGAACTTTGATTTACTATGGCGAAAACTTTGGAACTTTGATTTACTATAGTAAAAACTTTGGAACTTTGATTTACTGTAGTAAAAACTTTGGAAATATGATTTACTATGGTGAAAACTTTGGGACTCTGATTTACTATAGTGGAGTTAACTATAGTTTACTATAGTATATTTTGTTAGGGATCCATTAATCGTGTCATGACATAATTTCCCATCTAGTCAATACATTATGACGTCATTAAATGCGTCATTTTCATCACATTGTTTAAATTCCTTTGAAAATGACTTAAAGCTGAATCATTTTTCAATATTTCATATGGAGCACAACCTCTGTTCAAAAATATGCAAATGCATAATGAAAGCTAATTATGTTTCTGAAGATCAAAAAAAGGGTTTATATATTAATTGTTTGCTGAAGGTAGTCAAATACGCATGCTTTCTGCAAATTTCAAGAAGATTGCAATTTCCCAAACCTGTTCTCCAATATCTGGATTCTCAAAATGGAATTTTGTTATAGAAAATGAGAGCACCAAGTGTCTGCTTTATTTGATATTATATGAAATGGGAAAGAGGGTGATAGTTAAATAACTGATATAATTACAGGGCCATTTTATGCATAAGATGGCTCTTGCTCTTTGCACTAATTCTGTATACTAGAAATTTGAAAAGAATCCCTCTTTTATGGTAGCTTATTGGGGTTTTGATATAAAGCAACATTCTTTTTTTATTTTCATGATGTAATTTGCATTGTGCAATTCAAACATTATAAAAAGTAAATTGTCATAAAAAGGTTTTTAAAAGCTAACAAGCTTAACGTTAAAATAATTAGGGCATCAAGAAAATTCATCGTAATGAATATTGCTACACATTATTAGGCATTAAAAATGCTTTTCTGCTCACCCTTAACAAAGCTTTACTGTAGAGTACTAATGATTTGCTATAGAAAAATATAGCACATACTTTGATATTTTGATTTACTATGAAACTTAATATAATCCACAACGTTTTTGAAAATTTAGAGCTTTTATATTTTTTAAAATGCTAATGAAGTATTTTCTGAAAAAAATTATGTTAATATACAGAAATAAAGTTCTTTCCAATAACAGAAAATTAAAAGTAGGAATTACAAAAATGATATAAATCTATTTGAAATGCATAAAAAAATCTTTAATATACTGAAGACTTTGAATTACTAATGCAAACTATATGGTTAGGATGAGGTGACTTGCAGCGCCCGGTAAATTTACAAAAAATTAAATGTCTAAATTTTACCCGATTTTTGTACGTAAATAATCATTAATATGTGTACCTTTATAGAATACTATTTTTAACAAAAATAGAAAAGTAATTTGAAATATATGGATCTTTTATTGGGGAAGGGGTATCAGGTTTGCATCAAATTCCCATTGCATTTTAACCCCGCCCCGCTCTTTGGAGCCCTTAAAATGTACATGTACGTGCGCAGGTAGTTACAAGTTTCTCCTTTGGCTGGTCACTGTATTTTATTGAAATCTACCTATATGTGAAAGGAGGAAATTGTACGTTACTGCGCTCACCTGCTATTTCTTAAAAATGTGTAAAATCTGGCTGACCTTTCCCATTATGAACAGATCAACGAAACTAGATTTTCTGACGTAAGAATAAATTCATATGCTAATCGAGGCACTGGCGATACTTTCTAACTGACCAATCAGCTAAATGAATATCTTTACGAGTGCGTACCATAAAAATACTATCGAAACGTGCTTGGAATTTTACTGTTATCCGCTTTATTTTTATGCAGTTGAGTGACAGATTAGACACGGATCTACATACATGTACGTACAATATCCGATATCACAGTAAAATTTATATACAGTTACAAACAATTGATAAATATACAATAGTTTAAAATTTTGAATCGTGTTTGTTGAGCAATTCGCTAGGTCTACACGTATTCCCAAGTATCAGTGAATACAAGATTCATGCGCATTTCTTGTCCTAAAAACCGTAAATGCTGAAAATTCATGCGTATTATTAAGTATAAACAGCCTTGGCTGACCATTATAAAAGTTTGAAATGTAGAAAACTGTAACAGGTAAATTGACCTAAACCACGTGTCTGTGATGAAATGTAAACGTAGTAATGCAGCATGTTTTCTTGTTCTGTCATCGGATAGGACAATGACTATGTGGAAATAATAACAATAGCCATATAAGGTCTTCTCGGACACGCATATCCTTCTATTGTACTAAGACCCGCCCATTCTCTTACCATAAAAGAACATATTCTCACAAACCTGGCCGAATTTAGCTGTGATAAGGTCTAAAAATCAAAGATAATGTGATATTCCTCATAAATAAAATGTGTCGGAACTATTGAAACTATTCAAAAGGCGTCGTTTTTATTCACCCATTTTTAAAAACTACAAATATCGTTGAAGATTAAATATAATTCGTCATGGAAAATTTGGCCGCAGTTATGACACATCATCCTTTATTGTTCGCTACATGTGTAGTGAACTTTGTTTACGTTAGCACAAGGTCAATATGCATGCTATTGTATATTTTGTTTTATTTTTTAGTTTGATCCTGAACGTCCTATTCGAAAGGATCATGAAAACTTTCGGGAAAACCCAGCATTGAATGATAAAATGCATTGTGTTGTCTACGTAGCCGCTGCAGATAACCCAAAAGAACTCCTGGCAGACCAAGGAGCACATGAACAATTGAAGAAAATAAGAAGTGCTTTATCTGCAGAAAGTGCGTGCATTTATCTTCTTTTTTCTAAACATTGGCCAAAGGGTATGATGGGGCCACAGTGGGGGATGAAGTTTAACAGAGGATTACATAAGATATTTAAAAATCTTTTTCTCAAGAAAACAAAGCCATGATTGGTCAAAGTTACATGTATATGGAAGCATCTTCTGATAGTGTAGCTTCAAGCTTGTTCACATCATGACCCCCGGGGTAGAGTGGGGCCACAATGAGTGACCAGGTTTCATGTAGGAGTACATTGGAAAAATCATTTGAATTCTTCACAAGTACAACAATGCCATGACTGATCATCAATATGAAATAAGTATAGATTTAAAAAATGTTTAAATATTCCCCCTGAATCCAGTTTTTAACCTTATATCAATAGTGAGCTGATTTTTGCTTTAACCTAGCTAGTTGCTCAGGTGAGCGATTTTGCCCTTTAGCCTCTTGTTAATGCCTTTGTTCATTTGTATTCATAAACAATTGATTCACGCGTAATAGGTCGTAAACGACATTTATTTCAAATACTGTAAATTGATTTTCATTGATTTGTACGTTGAAATGGGACTATAATACCAGTTTAAAAATTTTAAAGTACATATATGAACTCAATGTTTCTAAACGCAATAATCATAAACTTTTATTCAAATAGTCATAAATAAGTCAGGAATTGAATTCGAAAGCTTGAAAAGCTGGACTTGTTACCATAGCAAAGCATTTTTAAAATAATGATGAAAGTTAAATTTTACCGACCATTGGAATTAATGAACAATGTTTCGAAAGAAATTTGCTCTTTCAGAGTCAGGTGTATACTTTTCAATAAATTAGAGAGAAGAAAACAATAGTCTAATGTTACGTTTGTGAAATGTCATACACCACCGGAAGCAACCAAGGTTTAGCGATCCCGCCAAAACGTTTGATGTAATCGGTCTAATACTGTAAACTTATTGCTTTTGGTGGTGTTTTCTTTTTAGCGGTTTTGGCAAAAAGAAACATCCGCTAATTCAAATACAATGCTAAATGTCTTAAACATATATACATCGTATATTGATAAGAACATTAAACAATGCGCTAAATCAAATCTACGCGAACTTGTTAAAACGTCAATTTCCGCCAAATATTGTACACACTAAACATAATACATTTACAGTATCTCTTTGACAGGTCCGGTATCTCACTCTTAAGACAAACATCGATTTTTTCATGACCATTTAGTAGACTATTCGTTATGTTAGAAATTTGAAAGTATACATTTTTTTAGAGAAACTTATTTTCAAAGGTACGAAGGTTGTCCAAAAAGTTCGTGGACAATGACGGTCTGAAATAAATGGTTCTAAAGACATGTATATCTAATGTATAGCAAAATATTTCGCATAAAAATCAAGTCAGATAGATTCAATTTTTATTGACGACACTTTATATTTTTGATAAAATGTGGATCTTTATAGGCCGTGGATAATGCGCACGGACCAGTCTGATTGATTGATTGATTGATTATATACTGTTTAACGTCCCTGTCCAGAATATTTCACTGATATGAAGACGTCACTATTGCCGGTGAAGGGCTGCAAATTTAGGCCTATGCTCGGCACTGAGGGCCTTTGAGCAGGGAGGGATCTTTATCGTGCCACACCTACTGTGACACGGGGCCTCGGTTTATATGGTCTCATGCGAAGGACCGCACCATTTAGTCGACTCTTACGACAAGCAAGGGGGTACTGAGGACCTATTCTAACCCGGATCCCCACGGGGCAGGACCAGTCTAACGTTACGCTATTTTCATTATTACGTTTCTACATTTTCTTTAATATGCCACAAGTTGCAAAGAAAGTGCTAGCAATAATCTTACAGTATCGGTTATGATTTATTAAATTTTTAAAATTCAAAACAGTACAAAATAATTTACAAGCGTCATTAATATAATGAATTCGTATACATAGGCTTCAAAGCCCCGTCTTGTATTGCTCTCTATTTATAACAACGGCATGAATAGAAATATCCATTTTCATCAAATAACGTGTTTTCAAATATCCTTCTGGTGTCTTCGAATTTGTACGCACTGTTAAAAAATTGTATATACTCAAATCTCAAATCATTAAACAAAAGATATTCGTATAATTTTGAGTTATTTGAGGAAATATTTCGTCGCTGACGTCGTTTTAACCGTATTAAAACTTAATTTTTTGATCGGACGCTGTCCCGTTCTTACGGCCGACGTCGCTTTTTCTGTCGAGTTTTAGAACATATTTATTAGGGTTTTTTTTTTTGTATTTTCACTGTTTATATAGTAACCGATACATATGATATCAAAAATGATTATGGTCTCTCTATTTTTTGTGTTACATATAATTTTTATGAAGCTTTGACTACTTTAATATAAATAATAATCCTTTGAATATACTGTATAAGTAGAATCTTTAGAGAGGATTTAATTTTGGCATTATTAGCGAGGGTGCCGACATCGCTAAAATTGAATATCGCTAAAAATTAATTAGTATTATTTGTAATAGTTTCTTAAGTAAGCATTTTTAAAATCGCTAAAATTACTTCTCGCTAAAAATAAAATACCAGTTGTTAGATAGAAATCGCTAAATTTGCGCTTCGCTAAAATTTCGACTTATACGGTAAACACCTTATTTCAAATTTTATGGCAGTTTAATCTTGGTCGGTGCGCACTATCTGCGACATTGAAAGACATCGATTTTGACAAACATATAAAATTACATCAATAAAAATGAAATCTATTTGACTTGGTTTTTCCATAAGAAATATTTTGATATACAAAAAAATGTATATAGAACCATTTATTCAAACAAAAACGTCATCGTCCACGAACTTTTTGGACAACCCCTGTAAAACAGAATACAGTGTTACATTCCAATTAATTCTTCGGAAACAATACATACTCTCACATAAAATTACTATAGTTACTTTAACTTTAATACTTTAATTTATTATGATACTATACTCTTAAACTTTTATGCAGGATTAGATCCGTAATATTTCATTAATTACATACCAATGATGCGATTTTTCTTAAGAAAATGTAAATGTACGAAAAAAAATTTAATATAAAAGTTATATGTAGTTTTTTTTTTTTTTACTTTTATGAAATACTAGTATACCTATCTGAATTTCAATATATGAATACTTTGATTTTCTACATTGAAAACGTTGATTAACTATAATTATCATTCTATAATGAATTATATATACGAGGGTTGTCCGTAAAGTTCGTGGACAACATTGATAATTACTGACAAACATTGACAAAATATTTGAGACTATTATTTTCGTGAAATTCATGTTTCATTTTATAAATATGCAAGTTTTCAACAAAAACAAAGCACAAATAGTTTTATCTTTATCGGATACAAAAAAGACACACAGTCGTACCCAGAGCACTAAAACGAAAATTCTTGACGTTACCTACGTCAAAAGTTAAATACGAGCACTAGTAACTTATTCAACATAGTCAGCGTTTAACTCAATACTGTTCTTATGTCGTTTTGATCAGTAATAAAAATATGCACAAAATGTACAAGTTTCATTCTTAAAATAATATTTACATATGCCTGTCTCATATCCTGCAATCATCCATCCACTGTCCGTGTAAAGACGATTTCATTTACGGAAATACGGCATGATCACGTTACGAAATTCATATTTTACAGCACTGCAATTTCGGAATAATGGTTTTCCTTCACGCATGTCATCCTGTAAACTGTTCATTCCGTCCAAAAATATTATGTGCTACTTAAATACTACCGAACGACTTCTTTACTATGTTTTCCGGATTGTTTACAGAATGTATTGGTCTATGTAGGTGTTTTTCCAATGTCAACGCAGAATTTTATCACTGTTCACTGCTCCACCTATTCCGAAAACGTCTCTTTTTTTATGATTTTGATCCTGTCTTAATATGTTCTAACGCTGATTGCTCAGCCATTTTGAAACTTTGAATGTTCAAATTTTGCAGGTTTGACGTGATAACTTCTGTCAACCTCATAATGTAAAATTCTTTCAAATTTCCCCAGAATTTTTAAAAATACAAATGAGATTTAAAAAGTGATCAATATTTTTTAATTAAAATTTTGCGGTGCTCCGGGTCTCCATTCCAAGCCTAATTATGAAGCCATAATTGTAATTAAACATTTGAAATTCAATAAATTTTTACATTTTTCAATTCACATTAAGTAAAGAATTAGAAATATGACAATAATGAATATCAATGACACAACTTTTATTAAATTTTTGGCTTGTCCACGGACTTTACGGACAACTCTCGTATGTAAAGTTTAATGTTAACTATATTACTTTTTCTAAAAGTAAATCCCTGCCCTTTATTCATACTCTATGGAGGAAGCTGCGCTCAGCCGAAATGTGACCGAAAGCACGAATGCGTGTTAAAATTCATAATTTTCTTTACTCAATGATTGGTTTTATTCTTTAATGTTTATAGATATGTTTAATATGTTTAATGTTTGATAGAATTTCAGTGTGGTAAAGGGTCGTCAGCCTGAGATACATGTATAACAATATAGCCAAATTTATAATAAATCATTTATTACAGTGTTCTCAGATGAAATGCATTTTGTTGACCAAATCGAACCAAACATTTTGCTTTCGGCCTAACGTTTTTAGGCAAATAGTTTAGTTTTGTACAAAAAAAAACGCAATGCCATATTTTTCTCGAACCCCGTTAATAACTATATAATTGAAAATGTTAATATTAAATTATATGTACATGTACTTTAGGTCTATTTTTCCCCTATGTGATTTCTGGAGGACATGAATATTCTTAGTAGTTTTGCATATAATTTAGTAGAAATAGATCTGTAGCATGAAACAATATTGTTTAAACAATGTTCTCACTTTGAACCTCTCATTGTACATGTATATATGATTCTATTCATTTCTACAAAATGTTTTATTTCTTTTAATTCGAAAAAAGTATTTATTTATATCTTATCTATTAAATTCGACAACCTTTTTTTTTTGCTAAAGAATACAAAGATTTTCTGGCTAATCACCTTATTCAGTATTTTTTTTATCTCCAAATATTTCATTCACGAACGTTTGTAATAACCAATGTATACGGATCACCAATAAAACTTTATTTCCAAAAAAGAGATATTTCAAGGTTCTCTATGAGTGGATTTAATATATCGGCCCCAAAACAGTTAAATGTTCACCGACAAAGTAACAATTCAAATACTCGTGCAAGACAGTTAAAAATTCTCTCGAACTTTAACTTGAATACAACAATTCTATCGTCTTTTAATTTCGATAAACAGAACAACTAAATTATCTGTTAATAAGGGCTTCATTTGCATAATCAATACCCTCGCCAGATTTTCTGCATGAAGGAACAAAACCAGTTTTCGAACTCCCATGTTTCGCCAGCAGGCACATTGGTAAGAGCAGTTGCACTAAAGTCGCTGCGTAAGAATTTTGCCTTATATCTTTAAACTTTTTAGTACCTTTTTCTTAAAAATCTTATAGAACCAATTTAAATAACTGAAAAAAATTAAGACCTCAAAGGTTACTACATGTAAAGAATGGTTTTACATTAATATCTAAATAAAAAAAAGAATAACCTCCGAAGTCGAGAAATATTGTATGAAAGATAAAAGCCAAGGCGTTAATAGGTAACGCCTTGGCTTTTATAAAACAACATTTAAGACCATCATTCACGACAACGGACTTTATTTACTACCAAGAACGATAAATACGGCCGTTGTTTCATTAGAGAAACGAATATCATAAATAAAAACCAGAGGGAAATTTTGTTTTACCTATATAGGGAATGCAAACGATTTGAGCTTTCGTTGCATTAAAAATAGTCCTTTTAAATTACAAATTTGTTCGTAATATGTATTGATCAGTTAAAATGAATATACAATAACAAAATCATGTTCTTGTTTTACTGCTTAAATCACGTTGTTTAATGTGTAGGGAGGTCCGTGGAATAGCCCTGCTTAGCTATAAAAACTGACATTCATCAGCAACTTGATGCAATTTACAGTGTTTATACTGCAAAGACGACACATCGATGCGGTCTAAACAAGTATTTCATTCTACAGCCAAACATGCATTTGAATTGTTCAGATTTGATACGTGTTTCTGATCTGATAATTTTTTGATGACGTTCGTGATTTATTGGAGAATAATGTCCGTCGGTTTCCTTCGAAGTTTTCAATAATCGTGGTAGAATTACTTTTAAACTTTAGATTATACAAATTTGTCCGGTTTGATATGGATTTTTGCACGCCGATCCGATACGTAATTTGGATTTTCGGACCGGTCCTTGATATGGGGTATTGTGACGTCACCCCTATCACATAATACAGAATCGGTGTATTATTAGTTATGTAGACACTAATACGGAAATATGTGGGGTCCTTGAAAAAATCTATATTGGGCGAGGCGTAAGCCGAAATATGTGGGGTCCTTGAAAAAATCCATATAGGGCGAGGCGTAAGCCGAGCCAAATATTTATTTTTTCAAGGACCCCACATATTTCCGTATTACCCCTTTTAGTGTCTACATAACGAATTTATCCTGCCGATGGTTCTCTAAAAGGCTTTTATAGTATCGATAAACCGCTTTCACTGAGCGTCTAAGCAAGACGTTCTGCATCCATTGTCGCCAGACGCATTGTGACGTCAGTTATGAAGCTCCATGCGGGTCACATGAAAGCAGTATATTGATGATGTGTTGTTGGTAAATTTTTTAATATAAGGTGGGTAGGTCACGTGGAGGGGTCGCATTAGCAATGTGAGGTGGGTAGACAGCATAACATTGTTTCATGCACTATTGTTGTCGACCAATGAAATTTCACGATTTTTATCAGAGGCAGGATAAATGGTAATACTGATTTATTTATACAAAAACATAATTAAACTAATATATGTCACACCAGATCGTTAAGCTTTGGTTTTTACTTACAATTTTATTATCATTATTTTTTGTGGTCTTCAAATATTTTTCTTGTTGTAACTTTAGAAAAAGGAAAAAAAATTATGATTGTAATTTTTTAATCAGAATATGTCTTAATGTTCACCAAGTGCATAGTGACTTACTGTATTCTGCGAGTTTTTAATCTTTAGCCTTGAACAAAAAGTTCTTTTTTTTTTGTCTACCATTTTAATATTCATTAGACCTTGTGAAAGTTATACGATATGAAACATATCACAGGCGACATTCATGTACATGAGCTACATTTTCACTAAGTAATTTCAATTACAATTGTGAAAGTATAGTACAGTTAATCGATAAATGGCACTTTCTTTACAGATGTTCCTCAGCTGGTACTATTAAACAAGATTGATCTTCTGGGAATAAGAGATATAAATACCATTTTTAGAAATAAAATGGTAAAAGGAATCTGCGAAGGTGCCAGTGAATTTATGGAATTGCCAGTAGGACATGTCCTTCCTATGGTAAATTACACCACGGAACAAGTCCCGGACGCCTTGAAAGAATTCTTAGCTCTTTACAATTTGTGGAATATGATGAACAAGGCAAATGATTATGTGAGTTGTCGTGCAGATGCACCAGAGGGATTTCATGATTGAATTTTACAAAGTTTGAATGTTAAAGCACAAAATTGTACAAATGCACGAAGTATAAATATTTTTTTCTTAGTTGTATATCCTTGAAATAGCATTTTAACGTTTTTGATTATTCAAATGATTATTATGTCACAAAAGAACTTTAAGACAGATTTTTTCATTGAAAAGTTGAGTTACGATATTAACAAACCCATTTGTGTATAAAACTAATTAATATGACAATAATAATAACGTAAAAATAAACATGATTGACAACAGCCTTGAGCTTTTCATTTGCTCAGATATAAGATTTATTATTCTGCATTCATTTAAACTTCCTTATGAAACGCACATTTTAGAATGACAATGTTGTATTGGTTAGACAAACAGTCTTTTGTACTTTATTTTTACAAGAAATAAATGTTCTGACTCTATAGATGCATAATGAAGTTATTGTAAATTTACGAATAATTATTCAAGTGTTTTATAACTGTGAATAAATCATGCCGAAAATGAAGCATTTTCATTGTATTAAATTTGAACCCTTGTCAGAAATGCATGCAAACTGGAAAAAAAAATAAGAACAGTAAAACATTTAAGAGAAAAAGAATTTTCAAAGTATGGAGAAATCAAAATCGTTCATTTTCACATCCTGATGTGACCTCATCAGGGAAGAGTTTTTAAAACAGGTTCAATTATTTAGCATACCTAAAATATGCAAGAGTATTGACCAAGCCATACATATTTTTTTCAAAGTGCGTTTATATGGTCGATTTTAACGCACTTTGAAAAGAAATTTTATTTTTTCAAAGTGCGTTGACTTGGTCCCAAATTTAACGCACTTTGAAAAAAAAATTTCAAAGTACGTAATTTTTCAAAGTGTGTTGTAACAAAGCGTGGTATGGAAATTAATCCTGGGGAATTGACATTGTGTGGCTCTGGAGTTTTTTTCTGATGTTCTTAAAATTATCTAAATAACCTAAATTGCTTTGACAGGTATAATCGTGAGGACATCTTCTTCCCCCAAGTTGCTGGCATACAAATTATTCCTAAGCTCATAAATATTTATAGGCAGTTCCAGTGATTTGTGAAGGTAGGTGGATGTCTATACAGCATCAAGGAAGGGTTTATAGTACCTGTTACATTCTACGCAATTAATTCTTTTTATGTAAAATGCTCCTGCTCAGTTTATTATTTTTAGTACTTTTTTACATTAAAATATATATATCAAAATTTAAACTATTCCAAAGAACCAAAGCAAGGGAACTTTTAGACTGGGGAAGTTTGAGTTTAAAATATCATAGCAAAAGCTCAGAGACTTCTCAAGATTTTTTTATTGAAACAAAACGCGGATATGTTAAGGAAGCATACAAGTTATTTCTCGGGAAATTTTGACTTTTTAAAGAAAAAAGGTTGATAATTTACCAAAACTGCTGATAAGCGTAAATTATAATTATTTATTGTATAAAGATAAAAGAGTGTCTAACGCAAAGACTTGCACAACCACTAAAACATCACGTGACTTCTATTAACAGCGAAATGTTCCTTAATAAAAAGGCTTACAAAACAATAATAACCCGGAGTTTAATGAATTCCTTGAGTAAATAATATAGTTGAAAAACATCTGTTTTGCCTAAAAAGTGCTGCTAGAATCCCACTGTCTTGTCAGTAAAATAATTATTCTACACATTCGCACGGAACCTTACCCGATGGTCTGAAAGGCGAAAGGTAGAAAGGAGGGCAGGGTCAAATAGAGTTATAGTATTCTGAGATATCACTTGGCAATGCAAGTTTTAGACATAGACACAATGTTTAATTTTATGTCATTTAGAGCCACACAATGTCAATTCCCCAGGATTAATTAATTGACCTTTGACGTTTTCATCTCGAAATAAATATTGCCTTAGGGACTCGTGATTGTAAAATTTCACTGCCACATCCAAGGGCTTCGAAACATCGCATAAAAAGGAAAGTGATAAAACAAACAGAACATTTATTACTACTTGATATTAATTTTTGTCTTTTTGCCTTGATATGACTAAGGCTTCCAGCAAGGCCAAATTTGTTATTTAAATTTCTTTACAAAAGCTCAAAGGATTCCTGAGATATTGTGTGGAAACTAAAGGGTTACAGTCAGACAGAAAGACAATTACACAGACTGACAAACGGATAGCTGGGCCCTAAAGTAATGTTTATGACCAAGCTTACAGGATCTTGATCCAAACTGTCTTTTAAATTGATTAATTTACAACAAAATTTCTTTGAAATTTTAAAAACATTGCATTTAATATACAACAAAGATGGATAACTGTCAGTGTTCAGCTGGGCGATGACGGTTGTCCTTAATACGGATACAACTGGTCTCCGCACTGACTTGGAAATTCTTCCCCCTGTCCTACTGTCGTGGAGATCTACACACACATGCACACGCACATCTTTTACACTCTTGTTTTTCCTCTGTATAAAGAACAAAGAAACACTTATTTTTCTCATGCGAATATATTAAACCATTTTGACGATGTATCTCTTACTAATAGAGTTCGCGTTGGCTTTCCAAAACCTTCGCACCCTACCGTTCAGGTAGTCCAACATATATTTAATTCGAGAAAAGGATGAATTCAACGATGGCAAGTAGAGTTTTTTTAATGTGAACGACAGAAAAAAATCTGACTTCATTAGGCCGCGGTAGACTTGCTAAAAATGGTAGACATACGACAATCATGCGCACAGCATGTAGCAACTGCTAATGATAAAACCATCTCTAATAAATGATAGAAAATGCTTAAGTTTTGCATGGCAAAGCTTAATGTCGTAAATCATTGCAATTATAATTTACATTGATTTCTCGACTGCTCAATTATTTATTTCATTAATAGGGGAAACTGAATCGGAAGTATCTGTACAAGTACCCGTACTCCTATTGAAATATAAGAAGCATCACGATCTAGATATGTAAACCTTTTGATAATATATTTAATCATTCCCTGCTTGGTGTAAACCTCTTTCATAATAAAATGAGATAAAGTGATATTTCTAATCAATACGTATCAATTTTTTATTTAAACAATATTCTATTCTGTATTAACACAAGAGGATTGGACAGCAGACACTGCCTATAAAAGTCCTCCCCATGACACAAAGATTAAGGTCATACATGTACAAGTAAATATAAGCTACATAATATTAAAAATATTTATATAAAGGGAAAATAAGAAAACAAAACTAAACTAATAGAATGTCCTACAAGACTTTCCTTTTTGCTTCACTAAAACAATACCCATTAGCTAAGCTTGAACAACCCATATCAGTCCTTTCAGTACTTTGATTCAAAAATCAAAGTTAAAGAATTTTCACTTTTTCCATGTTTCTATGGAAACTACTGAAAATTTGCAATTTTTAAATCCAATGAGCACAATTACAGATACTAATCTTTACATAAATTAGATTTCATGAAGAATGTTCAAGAGACCAGAGACAACACTCGCCGACAATATTCGTAGTTTTTTGTAGGTTTCCATGGCAACGGTAGCCATTTTAAGACTGAATGACCACACAACACAACTACAACCAGTGATCCTCCTTTGAGGAAAGTTTCAGGAAGATTGCCCTGCCATCTCCGAGAAAGAGACAGGAGAACAAAAACATGCGTACAATCGCAGGATGTCGCTCGACTTCTTTCGGGGCGACATAATTATAAAAGTGCTGATGATATAATTAAAGTTTGTATTCTAACAGATATGACTGACCATTATACTAATAAGTGTATAAATTTGAAATAAAAATACTAAGAAAACATAAATAGATGTTAGTTCTTTGGTTTGAAAATTTAAAAACAAAAGAAAAAAACTTCATGCAAATCTCTTTGTAGTTGAAACAAATTCTTGAACAAGTTTAAATACTGCTAAATTTTGGTTGTAAGAAAAATTAAAGTCTCAATTCAAAAACGTTGTGAGGATAAAGGCATTCAATATGTAATTCAAAAGTATTAGAGTTTTGCAGAAGGTTTTGCCTTAGCATACAACATTTTGGACGTTTCATAAAAAAAAAAATATATAACGCATATTGTTTTACTCGTCAAAGAAATTTTTAAAATGTACGTGAAACAACTATTTTTTATATCATTGAATACCTGTGACCTATTTAAAGGACAACATGGGGTTTTATAACCCAAGTGTTGAATTATCTCCCTTGATTAAACATGTTTATGAAAGTAGTGTTTTTCATGATTTCTTCTAAATTGGATGTCTATTTTCGTTGATATTTTGGATTTAGAGAAACTTTTAACACTCCTATTAAACCCATATTTAAGATTTGATTGCAGTGTTGATGCTGCAATGTCACGCCGAAACAAAGATGAACACAACCAGGCGATGATACTAAACGGAGCTACGCAACAGGAAGTTGCAACTGTATTTGGAATAAATCAATAGGTTTTGCAACCGTTAAACTAACGTCTGAAGACCACTCTCTGGCCATCCGTAGGTAACCAAAACCAGACACGACCGTCAGACCCCCCCCCCTCCCTTCAGCACCTCATGCGATTCAGAACTTGCTGTAAAAACTGCTGCTACAATTGCTGGATGAAAAAATTAAAAGTGCATAAATTGTTCGCAAGAGACTGAAATGAGATGGTATTCTTCCACGATATCCGTACGTTGGAAACCTACTAGCATTGAGACTTCGCACAGTACATATTGTTATGTACCTTGAATTTGGGGGCGATGAAAATGACATCAACTTGACTTTTCAATTTGCAACATTGATTTTTATCACAACACACTCTAAAATCGCTTAAATAAAGTAAGGTTTAAACTGAAAACTTAGATTTTCATATTATTCTGAATATGCGTTTCTTTTTTTGTTGAGTATATAAGATGTATCAAGTTTGTTTTAACACCTAACAGATTTGTTTATGTTTTTTTTTTTTACTTTTGGGGCAGGGGTTGGGGTTTTGGGTTAAAACCTTCTTAAAAGGAATTTGAAAAAAAATCTGAATTTAATGCAGAAATTCACCGTTTTAAAAACCTGTTTACTTGAGGTGG